GGGGGGATTTCCGTGGTGACGCTGCCGTGTCCGTAGGGCGAGGGGAGGAACGCTGGTAGCGTCTGCTTGGGGCTGTCCGTGCTGCTCCCCTGCTTTTCACTCCTCCCTTGCTGCCGTCAGACCCCGACACGCTCCGTGCCGGTGGCGTTGCCTTGGTGCTGCGGCGGAGCCGGTGTCCCCTGGCTTGTCACCCTTGGGTGGGGTTGGTGGTTTAAGGGCTGAGCTGGATGACGCGGCCGTTGCACCCTCTCGGCGCTCATGGGTTTGGGTCGGGGCACCGGGCGTCAGATGCTTTGCTCTGCGATGGCTTTGGGTGGTCTGGTGTCCTCGTTAAAGGAGATGCTTCGTGCGGTGAAAATCACCGGGGTGACATTTTTAAGACACAGTAGAGCTGCAGGAAAAAAATAAATAAATTACTCAATTCAGTTGAAAACCTGTATTGGTAGAAAGCAATATACGAAGAAGCAGATGCAGGCTGTCCTCGGTCCCCCCTGGGCATTTGGCTGTTCCCATCTCATGGCGTCTCTGCGCTGGGTTTGGCCTTGGGTAATTCCCAAAAAAAGATTTATTGCCTCTTTTTTCTGATGACAAGGGTGGCCCAAAGGAGCGGTGGGCACAGGGAGAGCAGGCAACAAGTCCAGTCCCACTTTGTGAGTCCTGGGCGAGCGCGTGGTTCCCTGTAGGCAACTGGAGCTGGGGGTTTGTGCTAAGTGAGGCTTTCATACGCAGCAACGTGAACGCGGTGGGGAGGACGCCGTGGAGCTCCGGCTGCCAGCTCTGCCGCGGCAGCGTGGGAGCACCAGCTCGGCTTAATAAATGAGATTCTGTGGCTTCTGGTTGTGGCGCGGGGCTGGAAATTGCTGTAGGGCTTGAAAAGGTGAGCAAGAAGGAGGGGGGACAAGTCAACACCGGGAGCTTACGGCACCCGGCTTTGCCAGGAACCGAGCCCCAGCCCGGCAGGCAACGCCAGGGCTGCGCCGTGCGAGCTGCCGGCGCGCAGAAACTCCACTCGGTTTCTGCTAATCCAACCTGTTTATAATTTAAGGGCTATAATAACACAGATTGCTGCTTGGAAATTTCCTCGGGGGGCTGTCGTTGGCTTGGTTTTTCGGTTTTTGGTTTGTTTTTTTACTGCTTTGTTTGCTCCGAAGACTTCGGCAATGGTGAGGCAGCGCGCCAGGCTGGAGGGTGTTTATTTCGGGGAGCGATGCTGCCCCGCGGCAGCGGGCCGG